TTTTTGTTGGTTTGGTTAGGTGGTAGGCTCAAGTGTAAGGACAAGATCATGAATTGTCATTTGAGAATACCGATTTATTGAAAAGCCCAAATGCTAGCTTAGTTGACAAAAATATGGGCTTTGAAAGATACTACCCATGATAAGGAAGTGAGGTTGATGAAGAAGATAAGGATTGCATAAGATAAAGTTTTTGGATAGATGCTCCTCAAGTGTGGCTACTTGCACTTTCCCTTCATTCCTTTTTTATGTACTTTTTTTCAACATCAGTTGCATTTTTCAATTTAATCTTACCATTCTTGATTGCATTTTCTATTATTTCATAAAAAATCATCATGTCAGCAAAGTTTTTGAAGAAATCCCGATAATTATTTCATAATAAGAAGTGCTCAAGGACTTGACAAATAGAATAGTGATTTCTTTCTCTATTAGGGGTGGTTGTACTTGAGTTGCCATGTCTTTCCATCTATGTGCATACTCTTTAAAAGTTTTGGTTGAACATTTCATATTCTTTAAGGATAACCTATCTGGTGCCATATCTTCAACATATTTGTATTGTCTAGGAAGGCGCCAATTTTTTACAAAAGTGAATCTTACTTCGATCTAACTGAGCATATCACCTTACTACAAATTCGATGAGACTATTTTGAAAATAGTGGACTAACAACTTATCATCATGAGTGTAGCCCATCATCTTTTGATAGTATATGGTTATGTGTACTGAAGGGCATTTTATTCCATCATACTTTTTGAAATCTAGGGCTTTAAATTTTAACAAAATGACAAGATCAAGTACTAGACTAAATTCGCTAGCATCAACACTCCTATATATATCATGGCCTTCAATTACCTTCAATTTTTCTTCCAACAGGTCATATTTATCTTTTATCATTATATCTTCTAATGGATCTGACATCATTTTCAATTTTTCTTATTCTTTAGAATCATCCAAATTAGATACAGTGATGGGGTCATAGGAAGTAGAACCAAAATTGACATTTATCTAAACTAGGGAGAACTTGGCAGAAGTGTCAATATAAGGTTGATGGATTGTTAAGGGTTCTTATGGCATATGAGGTATTGAACATATGGATATGTGAACCCAGGCAGATACAATGGTTCCTTAATAGCTATTTTCTCTTTTGCCTTGTGTGTTTCAACAATCCGTTTTTCTTTTGTCAAACCCGCTAACATTTATTTAATTTTGCCAACTGTCTATGCATATTCTATTGCATTATTGTAACTGTTTTCCTAATCTCTTCTTGGGTCCTTTCCATTCTTTCATCTAGTTTGTATTTTTATTTTTTATGATTCTTGTATAGGCTTGAGTGTTGTAAGTGAGCACGATTAACTAATCTTGCTTCTTATGATGCACTATCCTTGAATTTTTTATTAATTATTAAAAGTCAGAAATGCATGACATGAATTTTATTAATGGCCTTAAGAGATCATTTAAAATTTCTATAAAATTTAGGTAAAACTTTCAAAAATATCTTTTTGCTTCAAAGGTTTGAAGAGAGTATATGATCACCATTTCTTATCCTTAGTTGGCACAAAAAACAATAAATTCAAACAAATAATGTAGGATACACAAGTCAAATTTTATTATTGTTAAAAAAAAGCTTAAATTCCTTTCTATATTCAGGTCGGGTTTTTTAAAAACATTTTTTCTACCACAAAAGTTTGGTGAAAGTATATTTACAACAATTATTCTTTTTTACGAGTTTTTTAGGCATACTATTATTTTTAAAAAATGAAATGTAAATAGAGATGTCCATTAATAAAAAATTAAAATAAAGAGAAATTTCTGTTCATTCCCAAAAATTTCAAGTTTATACATCATGAAACATCCTAGGACTAAGATTATAAAGTGTCGTACTCATTCATACTCTTTTTTACCTTATCTACGAAACCTAAAAGAAGTTGATTATGATTGTTGTTAAGACAACCCTTTACTTTAGGGCTTCTATTTTTTATTCATTATCCTAGCCAACTTTACTATTGCCTATAGCACTACTTATTCTCTCAACATGGATCAATAAAGGATTCTTATAAATAACTAGCTTCATTTCGACATCAAAACTCAAATATCCTACTTTTACCAATCTTTGTACCCTATATTCCAAAGATGTATAGTCTTTTAAAAAATGATCTATAATGCCAAAATGATATTCACATTAAGCATTGGATCATATCATTTGAGATACTATAGTTTGAGGGTTCAACAGGGATAAAGACAATAAAGTATTTTTTTCAGAAGCTGTGAGTATAAATCTTTGTACGACATAGGTATTGGGCCAATAGAGGTTTTTCCTATGGTATTGGTGGTGCAAGAGTTTTTTTATTCTATAATTGGATTGCTTTACTAGAAAAATAGTGGTATAGTGGGTGTTAGAGTGAATTGGAAAACTCTGGGTCGAAAACTAGGTTGAAAATGCGGTGATGGGATAGCAAGTTGAAAAAGTGGTTGTAAAATGTGAGGTGGTGGACATGAATTCAGGTGTGGAATTCTCTGAGTTTACATGAAGTTTGGGGACTTAATCTCGAGTGCTTGGAAAGAAGGTTAAAAATAGTCGTAAGAAAGATTTAATTACGGGGTTTGGACTAGGGATAGTTGGTGAGAGTTGTTTGAAACCTGGTGAGTCCATCTTGAAAATCAAATTTTTGAGTTTAATCATTTGCATGATCAATTCATCCATTCCATTTTTTAGCTTGCCTAACTTTTGATCACTGCTCGAATCACTTAATTTCTTAGTATGCTCGAAAAAAGTGTTAGACCTAACAAGAACCAATTGATCTTGATCTGATTGAATCGAAAATGACGATCTTTGAGGAGCAATAAACTTAATCCCACCACCACTTTTAACCATTTTTATCAATTAAGTAATCTGTTGTTTTATTTTTTAAAGCTCGTACTTAAATTCCTCTTAATTTAACTCAAACTCACTAATCCTTCTTCCAATTGATCCCATTTTTGTCATTCTGATTCCCACCAAAACAAACATTTTATTCAGGGACTTAGACAAAAAATTCTATGTTATTACCCTTATTAAATGAATGCCACGAAACAATTTCTAACTTATATGACATATAGAGCATGTTTATAAATATGACTATAATGCCTAAAGAATGTCATGAAATACCAAGATGCCTAAGACAATGGATTTTACATGTACAAGGCCCTAAATGATAAAAATTTCATCGCCCATGAATATATGTGCAAGGAATGTAATGTTCTGTTACCAGAGGTGATGAGGTATATTCATGTGAAATACAATGCATACTTTATAAAATCTTACTATTCATGGATCCACATGTCTGGAATGCAATGGCATACTTACACGAGTGATGAGATGTATATCTATGACTAATGCAACACATTTGTATGAAATACATTAACTTATCATGTGCATAAGATATATCTACATGAAATGTAATACTTATGCTATGCCGCCCTAATGAAACTAATACTACCTTAAAATATGTAATGAAATGGAGTAAATCTATTATTTAATGAGATGTGTATAAGATAGAATGCATGTACTATCTATTAAGATGCATGAGATGGGGATGTACATACTATCTTATTATTTCCATTTTTTTTAAATATGATAAAAATGAATGCAAAAAGATCAAATGAAAATCTAAAAGAGGCAACAACATTCAAGCTTAAAATTCTCTTTTTTTTTTTCCTTTTTTTATAAAGAGGAAAAATTGAAGAAGACACATTTTTTTATTGCATAGAATAATTAAGATTCGAAGATTTCTCTTTTTTCATTAATTTTTATTTGGTCAATAAACAAAGAATTAAAAAAAAAACCTTTATTTTTGTTTGAATTTTCTTTTTTGGATAATGCTGAAAACTTTTATTTTATTTTATTTTAAAACATTTTTTGAAAATACAAATTTTGGATAACCACCAAATGAATGAACTACATGTTAGAAAAATTTTTTGTTTTCTTTTTATTTTAAAAGAAAGTGCTTTTCTTTTATTATTTATTTCTTTTTTTATTCAAAATTTTAATTTTATTTGTGCCATTATTATCCCTAAATGTATATTGTATTGGAGTGTCTTAATTTGGGTTTTATATTTACCATTTTTTTTTTACTAAGCAATCACCAATTTTTGGTTTCATTAAAACTTCGCAGAATAAATGTTGTTAGTATTAATACCTCTATGCGAGATAGGAAGAGAGAGGGGTGGGGAGGGTTGGTAAAAAAGTACTATAACATAAAAAACAAGCATAACATAGACTTGGTATCTGATTAAAGTGTGAGAACCAAGCAACAAGTGGCAAGTCAACATTTAATTCAACGTATCAAAGAGGAAAAATCTATTGGGGGTGCAGCAGGTGATTCTTAGAGAGAGAGAGAAAGGATGTATTCAATTTTGTTCCCCTTCACAGAACAGATAATAAGCTCATCAACTCATCATAATTATGTAGGAAAAAATCATAAAACTATTTAAAGGATCATAAACATCTAGCCAGGCATTTGGACTGGTTGAGAATTAGTTTGCCTCCAATTATTCTTGCCATTAATTAATGGCATTTTGCTATGGCATCCAACCTAAAATTAATGGACAAGAAAAGTCGAGTCACAACCAAAAAGTAAAGCAACTAAAAATTGTGATATAGGACATAATACTATTTAACATTCTACCCAGAGTGCAGCCCAATGGAAGAACTTAGACATATCAGCCTATCTTTGTGGAGTACAAAAACCCTAAGTTCAACTAATGTGGGATATGGCCCATTTAACATAAGCTAAATAAATGGACATCAAGAAGAATGGATATTTGATTTCCTTCAGAAAATATCAAAGATCCCAAAGTATTCATGAAAATTCTGGGACTAAGGAAATGCCAGATGATTTCTCATTGTTTTTTATTTATAATAATTTTGCTCCTCTCCTCTAGTAGGGAAAAGAGGCTGATAAGGAAGAAATTTTCTTCCCAGTTGGAAAAAATCATAAAACATAGTTGAAGACGAATCATTATGCTACTATGCAACCACTAAATGAATAAAAAAAAAATTGTAATTGTAGCATTCATTTGCATCCCCATCCCATGAGAATAATTCATCAACAACAGAGAAAATGATCATACCTGTCTCTCTTTGAATGGTATACGAGTTATCAACAGTTGGGCCTTTCACATGAAGTTTGGTCTGAACAGAAACCGCTACTTCCACAGGTATATCATCCGCCTATGTTTTGTCACAATATCTCAAGAGTATAACATTCAGTAAAAAAGATTTCAACTAAACTGCAAATGACTCACAGTTAACAATCAATAAGGAAACTCACCCTTCCACCAAATTCATTTGGTTTGACCGTATAACTATCTATATAAATTTCAGGCCTACTTAAACTGTTATTCTCCAAGTCAGCCTGAGATCCACTTGAGACAATGTTAATACCAGAATCAAATCTCCTTACTTTATCGTTTACAAATTTATCTAAGAGACCAGCAAAATCTCTCCCATCTAGCTTGGAACTTGCATTAGCAGCTTTAGTTTGATTTGATTCTAATAATGGAGACCTTAACAAGTGAGATATGTTCTGTTCTTTCTCTATGTCAACTTGACTAGATTGTTTATTGATACTTTCAATAGAAGACGCATTTTTCCCAGGTGCTTGATCAATATTATCAATTGAAAAATGATCTGTTTGTGGATCCGAATGCAACATCTGTTTCTTTTGCAGTGACATTGAAGCTAATGGATTTCTTGGAGGTATGGAAGATAAATGATCAGCTGAACTTTCAGCCTGCTATTATGGTCTTATTCTGTCATTTTTGTGAGACGCACTTATTTCATTTTCTGTGTCAACCTGATTAGATTGTTTACTAATACTATCAATAGCAGATGCATTTCTCAATGGTGATCTGTCAATATCATCAGTTGAAAACAGATCACTTACTACATCAGACTGCAATATTTGTTTCTTCAGCAATGATATCGAAGCCAATAGACCTCTTTGAAGAGTGAGAAGCTAAATGATGAACTGAACTTTCAGCCTGTCATTTTTTTGTTCTTTTACCGATCCCTTTCATCAAATTTTGTATGTTCGATAGTGAATTTCTAATTTTTGTTACGTTTTCGCTAGAAGCCCTCAAATCTATCCTCCAAATATCTTTCAAGTCAGAAAGGAATACTTTCTCCAGATCAATAGATTTGATCTGCAAGCACTCTTGTAGGAGACTGGCAGCTTCATCCCCATCATAATTACTGCTAAGCAAATCATCCAGAAGTTCATAAACCTTGTTCTTTGCGTTGGTCACTAAGCCTAGAGAGCATATAGCGTATGTTATCGCCTACACATAGTAGGGGGAATTTTGCATTATTATGGAAACAAACACAAATGAAAACCAAGTTATAGGGCAAGTTAGTTTTAGAGAAGATATTAAGAATGGGAGAGCAAGGACGGAATAAAGTAACAACTTAGGACAAAATCAACCTTTCTTGACTCACTGGCCAACTCTTTCTCGTGTAGTTCAACATTCTGGTAAGATTTTTCTTGTTTTGAGCCACAAAGTGGACTGAGAATTTTCTTTTCAAAGCTGTTAAAAGGCGACATAGCAGTAGAATAGTGATGCTTGTACTTAACCGATCTCCTGAGCGTAAAATCATAAGGGTATGTAATGTTATATACATACATACGTATGCAAAAGTTAAAAAAAATGAATACAACAGAAATATGGTAATAAAAACCATTCATCAAACTTTAATATTCCAGGACGACAAGGCCTTGCAGCAACAGACTGAACATTCTGAACCAAATCCATCAAACCAGCACCTGTCTGTTTCCCTATTTCTCTTTTGGCATCTATATAAAAATACAAACGCACGGTAAAAAGCTAAGTTCATAAAATCAATTGCAGATTAAATTTCACAAACAAAACAAAGGGCAATCAAGCAGCAAACTTACTTTCAGCCCCTTTCAAAAGCCATGAAGAATTCTACCTGATCTTTCAATATATCCTTGTCTAAACTCGGATCCAAACACACAGTAGGCTGACTATAAAAAATTAAAGACGTGAAGTAAAATTCAATTAACATTTACCACAAAAATGAAAGAAATTAAGTACACCAAGCAATTTCAAAAAAATCTTAACCTTAAGTTAGGTTTCAGAGAAAAATGAGCTCGTTTACAGCCTAAAGCCTGTCTTCGTTCTCGAGGATTTTCCATAACTTCAGCATCGAAACATATCCAAGTCCACGAGCTCTGAACTATTATATACAATTGCTTTCACTTGCTCCATATGTTTAGTAGGACTTTGCAATGGCTGTAAAATTATAAAAATTAAAACAAAATAATGGAACTAAAATTAGTATTTCCTATGATTTAAAATAACATATATGTAATTTTAGGTGGAAAATATGAAATAAAAAGAGTAAGTTGGATTTGAGAAAATCGTGTGGGAATGCTAAAGATCATCAGGTATGGAGGAGGGTTTGGAAGGGCAACCAAGGTTTAAGGGAAGAGATTATGCCATGTCATTGTGAAAATGTCAAATTACATTTATTAAAGGACAATTTTATCTTAGGAAGAATTGCTTTTGCTACCATTCGCATCCTCTATTCTTCAACTTTTTTTTTCATTAGAAAAATGAAATTTCTTTTAAAACTCATGGGGCTACTCCACTCTTTCTGTTGTCCATTTTTTTTCTGAAGTGTATTTTTTTCATTTATGTAAAAGAAGCCAATTTGCAAAACAAAGTCAATTTTGATCAAATATGTTTTTCATTTATTTGCTACATTTTATTTAAATACAAAAAAGTTAAATTTTAATTTAAAATTTAACTATTGGTTAAGTTTTAATCATTAGATTTTTTTTTTCTTTTTAAACTTAAAAGTTCCTGTCTTCAGCCTTTCTTCTCATCATTTGAATTTTTTTTCTCTCAAATTTAGGTTTTTTGCTTTTGGATTCTTTTTTGGTCTTAGACTCGGAATATAGATTATTGTCCATAATATCGACATGAAGTAACGAATCGATTCAAAACCAAAAAAACCAGCATTTTCTTTGGGAAAAAATGGGATAGAATAGATAGAACTAAGACAAACCAAATTAGTGGGTGTAATTATTGCTTTTCGTCCTACTTAAAGAGGAAAAATACTTCATATTTGCTGGCTGGTTAAGCTTATGACATGGATTTAGCTTTCTTTATGTAATTTTACTTAAAACTCAAATTCAACTACAAAAGAAAGGAAAAAACTAAAATAAACTATAATGTGATTTCGTTATTTTTTCCTTCATTCAAAATTGAGTAATAAATTAATTGTGGTCCAAGTTCGACACACTCCAATGAAATTTATCCTAAAAAATTACTTTATATTAATATAATAATTTTAAATATGACACAAATATGAGAAGAAATATACAAATTATATAGTTTAAAATTCTAACAAAAATTATATAAAATTTAAACAAAAACTAAAAATATATTTTATATTTAATGTATTAATATTTAATATAATACAAAATATACTAATTATCATCAGATTTACCTTACGTTTTGCTTCCAGGAGCAATGAGACCTGATTTTATTCTTGACATAGGAGCCACTTCAACATAATTCCAACAGCTGGGCATTTGAAGAGATAATTATAAAAGTGGAGAAACAAAATTGTACTTAAAATTTGTACTCCATTAAAGAGAGTTTTGAAGTGATTGTCTGATTGATATCCGTAATGGATTATTGCAGGGATGTTGGATGGGTGTAGATGAGTGCCATAAGGCCCTTCATCAAAATCTTAGTCATGTAATACATACAGAATTTCCGCTCGATCATTGATTATTTTGTAGATTCGAAATGACAGCTGGTTGTCTAAGCGCCAAACTCGTCTAAAAGTCGAGAACACTGAATGGTAGCTGGTTGTCAAAGTGCCAAACTCGGTACATTTATTATTTTAAATACAAAATAGTCACTTTTTTAATTTAAAATTTAATTGATTAAGTTTCAACGGTTATATTTTTTCGCTTTTTAAATTTAAAACCAAGGTATTCAACCATTCTTCTTATCATTTCAATCTTCTTTCTCTCAAATTTAGGTTTTTCGTTTTTGGATTCCCTTTCGGCTTGGAATATAAATTATTGTCGATAATATCGATATCACGCAAGTAATGAGTCGATTCAACTTTTTTTGAGATTGGGCATCAAGATTACGTTGAAAAATTAGGGTTCTTGATCTGACAAGAGGGACATTAATTCCTTTGAAGCCAAGGAATTTTTTTCGGCCATTGGTCAATCCAAACAAAGTAAAGAATTAGTTGGTGGAGGACAAATTAGAATGTGTGAGGAACTTGGAGACCTTCTGAAGGTTTGATTTCTACCATCTTAATTTTATTTAATTTTTTTTACTTCTAATAGTGCCCGATTTGATTTTTTCTATTTTTTTCTGATGATAAAATGTGTTCTTGTTATAGACTGTAGATAATGATATTGCTAGTGTAAACTGTTTTATTATGTCTTAGCTGTTAGTCATATTAATTTGATTTTCTGTTTTGTATTTTTTTTTTTTTGATGAGTTCCAAATGGTACCTTGGGATGTTCTGTTCAATTTATTTACTCTAGATTTCTTATCTCTCTTATTTATAGAATCACATGATGTAAATCCAACGAAAACCTTACTTTTTTGTAAAGCTGTCAAGCTTTCTCCGCTTTTTTGGAGAGAGGAGGGGCGGCTGTTTTTACAAATACTTTTGTAGGGATCTTATTTTTCTTGATGGCTTGATAAGAAATTATGTGACAAAAATCTAGTGATGTGCTTCTACAATAGACACAGTCCATTCAACGGTTTGTGATATTCTTAAATAATCTAGAAATAGATAGTTGTGGTATTATGCTGAAATACTTAATTGTTGTCTTGATGTGACAATAGTAAGAACTCTAGGTGGTTAAAATTATGCTTTCATATGCTTCACCCTTAGAGAGTTGACACGGTGGCTAATTCTTATATTAGTGGCTATCTTTATCTCATTCTTTTAGTTAAACTGACTTTCCTATGTAAAAAGCTTTTGACGGTAGGCCAGGTTATGGCGTGATTGAAATAAAGTGTCAAACTCCAGAGCTTTTGGAATTTGACTCATGCAGTGAGGATGTATTTAAATTGTTTTCTTCCTGTAACCCACATTTGTTATGTATTCATTCATGAGAATTGTAATTATTGCTGTTACAATGTGCATCATCATTGCCAATAAATGCTACTTCGTTTATGATGTGTGATGAATGTTCCAAGACTTATATTAGAACTTTTTTTTCTCAATTTTTAGAGGATACCACTTGATTTTCTGCAAATAGACAAATTTCGTGAAGCGGCAATTGATTACATTAAACCTCTTCTAACCTTTATATCCAAATGAGATTTTTTTTTTTTGTGTTAGTTTGATTGGTGTTTTTAGTTTGTTGGGTGAAATAATGATATATTATTTCTGTGGTCTCAAGGGGTTCCATCTTTATTCTCAGACCTTTCTCCCTTGTACGATCACCCTGGAAAGGTAAGTTTTCTTACTTACATATTCTAAAAATAGAATTAAGTTTCTAAATATTGATTCTCCTAAACTACTTAGCAACTGGTTGGAGCTTGATTTCATTAGGATTGATTACCTGCTTTGTTGACACTTATACAGACAGACATATTGGAACAATTTATTCTTGAGTTGGAGCATTCAATTAGGACCACCGGCTTATACCCTGATAGGTAGTCTATGCTTTAAACCCTTGTGTAATATTTTAGTAAGTCTTAAAAGCAAATAAATGTTTAGATTTACTACTCTTTGAGGTAATATAGACTTTCAACCCTTATGTGATATTCTAGTAATTCTTAACAGTGTTCAAATGTTTAGATATTGGGTGTGGTCTGAGTGAATGTTTATCTTTTACTGCTTATTATTTGGTGAAGTCCTCAGTCATTTATGTGTTGTTATCTATTAAATAAGTACATAATGGTTGTCTCATATGGTTGCATTTAAAGTTCCTATATGTTTTTGTCTGTATGCTAATACACAAGCACACATTTGGTATTATGCTGAGTCATTTCTTGCTTGTGTTTCATATTGAGTGCAGGACAGAGAAAGAGCCCCCTTCAACACTTTTATATATTTTATTCTTTTTGGCTCAGGTGGGTAACCATCAGGTTTCCTCACCCCATTGGCCATGGCCTTTTCTTCTTTTCTTGCTATAAATATTTGGTGGTTTCTTTGCATTTGAGTAACTTTGAATTTATTAATGCAGCATTATGACAGAAAAGGACAATATGATGCTGCACTTTAAAAAATTAATGAGGTCATAGAGCACACACTAACTGTAATTGATTTATACTCTGTCAAGGTTTGTTATTGCCTTCAATCTTTAAATTGTTGCATTGGCTTCATCTGCTGGGTTTTATATTTTTGTTAGCTGGATTCTTTAATTTTATGTTTTTATTCTTATATTTTGAAATCTTTTTTCCTGGTTTGTCTCACATCTCACAAGGCATAGCATTACCTGAAAATCTTTCTAGATATTTCCTTGTAGTTATCGTTCACTTGTAAGAGACTTATCACTTTCTATGATACTGAGCTTGATTGAATATATTGTTTTGCACTAAACTGAGCAAAGTTGATAGACATTCATTTAAAATGCATACTAGTTTTTCTTTGTGGACCTTAAGTCTTGATGGGCATTGGGCTGGCATATGACCTCCTTTCTTAGGTTTTAGGGTTTTTGGTACATGGCTATTGTTTCTTGATGAACCTTTTTACTATCTTTTGGAGAAGTTCTTGGAAGAGTTATCACTTTCTATGATACTGAGCTTGATTGAATATATTGTTTTGCACTAAACTGAGCAAAGTTGATAGACATTCATTTAAAATGCATACTAGTTTTTCTTTGTGGACCTTAAGTCTTGATGGGCATTGGGCTGGCATATGACCTCCTTTCTTAGGTTTTAGGGTTTTTGGTACATGGCTATTGTTTCTTGATGAACCTTTTTACTATCTTTTGGAGAAGTTCTTGGAATTTTCTTAAAGCGGGGTCTATGTGTATATTATTTACTTCTCTTTGGAGAGTCGGATACTGAAACATGTTGATGATTTGGTAGCTACAGCTTCATTGGCAGATGAAACTAGGTGTATGGATCTTGCAGATCACTATATAAACAGTGAATCTGTGAAGTGAATGTTGTAGGCTGATCAGGTTCTAAAGCTTAT